CTGCTAGGAGGTATATATTGTGTCCGTCTTTTACTTATGGAGAATCTAAGACTCAAATCTTACATAATTTACTAAATGTCGAAAAATTAATGGCTAATAAATTAGTATGATGATTTTTTTTGGGGGGGCGTAGATATAGTAGTGGGAAGATGAGAGACAGATAATTTGAACATCATTTTAAAATATGCTGTTCTTGAAGTGGAATTGAGCTAGGGATGCTGCTGTACCAGTAGTACAGTACTTACCTAGTGTATGAAGCCTTGGGTTCATCCCCAACCTCACATACAGAGACCTTTATGTAGTGTGGAGTTGGCTGATAATCTATCTATCTATCTATCTATCTATCTATCTATCTATCTATCTATCTCTATTTTTTTTGTGGTAGCATTAGGTGTTGAACTTTGAGTTATCTGCCACATTAGTTTAACGAAGATTATTTACGACAAGTTCCATTAAATTGTATTCAGTGAAAGGTAGGTGACAGAATGTGTGAAGTAACATTTTTATAAAGATAAATCACATAGATGGAAACAAGATTGACAAGATGATAAGTGATGTTTGCTTTCTGTGATGGCAGTGGAAGAAGGCAAGAACCTACGTGGTAATGTCATAGAATAATTGAACTTTACCATTGGGCTACATCCTCAGCCCTTAAAGTTTGGATAAGATTGACATTAAATTTACCATGTTAACTATTTTAAGGTGTACAATTCAGGAGTTTGTAATCTTATTTCCAAAGTTGTACATTGCCACTATTTCCACATTGCCATTGCCACCAAAAGAAACTGCATACCTACCAATTCCAAATTCTTCTTATCCTCTGGAAACCACTTACTCACTTTTGTCTTGATGAAAGTCCTAGTTTGGATGTTTCCTATCAGTGGAATCCTGCCATATGTAGACTGTTGTTGCTGGCTTTTTTACTTAGAGTAATGTTTTGAGGATTCCATTGTGTTAATGTATATATCAGAAATCCATTCCTTTTCATAGCTAAATAATATTCCATGTTACAATATTCCATATTTAAGTTGATGGACATATGGATTGCTTCTACTTTTTGGGACTTCTCTGTATAATGGTACTGTGAACATTTGTGTGCAATTTTTATGTGAACAGATGTTTTCACTTCTCTAGGTGAAGAATATATATTGCTGCAGAATTAATCACATATGGTAACTCTTTCATTTACCGAGGAAGCACTAATTAATTTTCAAATCAGCTGTACCATTTTACATTCTCATCAGCAATGTATGAACATGTAATGTTTCTACATTCTTTTTTTGTTTTTTATTTAATATTTATTTATTTTGTGTTTTTAGAGAAGGGTCTACAGGGTGTTCAGGGTCTTACTACTAGATCGGACTCCTAGTGATCCCCTTGTTTACAGCCTCCCAAGAGCTGAAATTACAGGCGTGCTCCATCACGCCCAGTCTCGATTGCCATCTCAGTGCACCCTGGGGGTCTACATTCTTTTTAAAAAAAAATCGTTTATTTGTTTGTTTGGTACAGGGTCTTGCTACGCAGCTCAGACTCCTTGTGATCCTCCTATCTCAGCCTCCCCAGTGCTGGAAATACAGGCATGTGCCACCATGCTTGATTTTGGTGCCCAGCACAGTGGCCTGGTAACAGGGCATAAGGTACTGGGGACTGAACCCGGGTCCATGTGCTTGCCAGGCAGTCGCTTAGACTGCTGAGCCATTTCCCTGGCCTTGTACATTCTAACATTTTATTTTATATTTTTAAAGTGATGTTTTTCCTTATGGGGTGAAGTGTTACCTCATTGTAACTTTTATTTGCAATTTCTCATGATGTTGAACATCTTTTTATGTATGTACTAGCTACTTGTATATTGATTTGGGAGAAATGTCTATTTAAATCCTTTGCTCATTTATTATTGTTTTTATGAGAGGCTTTTTTTTTTTTTTTTTTTTTTTTTTTGTGGAACCAGGGATCGAACTCAGACCCCTGCACTTGCCAGGCAAGCGCTTATTCTACTGAGCCATTTCCCTGGCCCCTATGAGAGGCTTTTCTTGGTTTATATTTTAATTTAATTTAATTTAATATTTGCCTATATTAGTGGATCCACTTAGCACCGTAATTGCCTTTTAGAATGTCCTATTTCAAATTTACAATTACTTCTTCCCATTATGTTGCAAGACATGGTAGCATAGACTGTTTACTGTATATATATATATATTATGTTCTGTGCCTTTTTCATTGTGTTAAACACAAGTAACAAAATTTACCACTTTAACCATTTTTAGGTATACAAGTCAATGACCTTAAGTAGTACATTCTCTCTCTCTCTCTCTCTCTCTCTCTCTCTCTCTTTCTGTCTCTCTCTCTCTGTCTGTCTCTGTCTCTCTTTCTTTCTTTCTTCTTTTTTTTTTGTGGTACTGGGGACTGAACTCAGGACTACTGCTTGCCAGGCAGGTACTTATTCTACTGAACTATTTCCCCGGCCCCTACATTATCTATTTCTAATCATCATTGTTTCTAATGCTTTATTTATTTATTTATTTGTGTGTGTATGTATGTGTGTGTGGCCAGCTCAGCCCACCAGGGGGCAGGGCTGGCTGGCATGTGGTGCTGGGGGATTGAACCGTGGTCCCTCTACTTTGTTAAGCTTGTTTTAAGTAGGTGCTTTAGACCACTGAGCCATCTCACCAGCCCCATCTAATGCTTTTTTATCAGCATCCAGGATACTCTATACCTATTCAAAAGTAGGTATTTGTAATTTTAAGGTATTAAGGAATTCGTAATTTTTGGGAGAGTGTTTTGAAATGGAACTAATTTGAATCTGTAAGTCTTTTTTAGTTTTGACATATTCTTGGGAATATATAAGAGGAAGTATGTTGCATTCTTTAATGTTCATATTATCACTGATTGTACTGTTTATGAAGGTCTGATTTCTTGAAGTGGCAGATACACATTTTATCTTGAAAATGTAACATTTTATTATATTAGTGATGAGTATACTTATGTATTATATATTTGATGTAAAAATATACAAATTTTATATACTATAAAATTCACATAAGTTGATTTTTTAGGAAACTCAAGAATATACCCGAAATGTTGTAAGGTATTGCCTTGAAGCGCTTCAAGACTGGTTTGATGCTATTAATTTTGTAGATGAGGTATGTATATTTTTGATACATATAAAAGCACTTAAAGAAATGTTAGATCTCATTTAATAGAAGATAATGAGTACTTTTGTGAATGGAGGAAAAAATTCAGTTAATATTATTAGACTTTAACCATTTTACAGTTTACTCTAAATGTCACTCAGGCAGTGTGTTGATTTACATACTGACTATCCTGAGCATTGCTTAGGCAGGGGCCATTTCAACTAGTTGATTCTTTTCGTTTTTTTTTTTTTTCTTGGTTAGTACTAGGGATTGAATCCAGGGCCTTATGCATGCTAGGCAAGCACTCTGCCACTGAGCTACATCTCCAGGCCAACCAGTCAATTCTTGTATTGAATAAATTTGATAAAAATTGTCATTTTTATGTCTTGTTACATTATCTTAAAAATTAATGAAAAGAATTACAGTTTTTGGTCATCCTATATTTAAATAATTGGACTGGTAAATAGTTCCAAAGAATAAAAATGTAGAATGGTATCTTGGCATTTAGATAATTCCATAGTACATTAGTCATGTCTGCATATTTCCTAGAAAATACACTATTTCTTTGAATTCAGCTGTTGCATATATCATACATATAGCAGTAGAATTACTTAGTCATATGGTAACTCTAGAATCATATATGTTCTATCTGTAGCTTCATATTGTAAATTAATTTCATGCCTTTAACTGTGTAATTCTCAAATAATTTTGCTTCACTTCACTCCTGCAGTTTTAGTGATACTGTCATTTCAGCAATAATTTCTAACAGTTCAGATATTCATGAGAACTAGTTTAAGAAAAGGTAGAGCTCTAGCTCATGTCTAAGTGTGGACAGGACAAAGGAATATAGCAGGCTGGAAGTAGGTTGGAGTGCTTCTGAAACTGGAAAGTGTTCTCTTGGATGATTATCTGATTACTATTTAAATGAAGTTTAAGCTTGAAGATGTATAATTAGACACAGATGAAAATCAGAATGCTTTGATTAAGGTAGAGTCAGGATCCGTATGGACAAAAATCCACATTGTCTAGGTTCAAGGCTAAACACAAAAAAATGTTAGGGGGGAGGATGTATGAAAAAATAAACTTTCAGTTGTGGTAAGAGCCACATAACATGACACGTATTACCTAACCAGTTTCAGTTCATAATTCAGTACTGTAAAGTATGTTAATATTGTGTAACCAATTTTGTGGACTGTTTCATCTTACAAAACTGAAATTTTAGGGGCTGGGGATTTGGCTCAGTGGTAGAACATTTGCCTAGCAAGCTGGAAGCCCTGGGTTTGGTCCTCTGCACCAAAACCAAAAATAAACCGCTCCTAAAAAACAATTCAACCAAACCAAACTAACCAAACAGAAAACCCTGAATAAAATAAAAAAAGACACACACACATGAAAAAATAGCAAAAACAATTTTTTTTTTTTTTTCCAGAACTGGGGATTGTACTCAGGCCCTTGCACTTGCCAGGCAAGCACTTGTTTTGCTGAGCTATCTCCACAGCCCAAAAAACTGAAATTTTATGCCCATTAAATAACTACTCCCCTTGCTCTCATCCAGCCCCCAGCCACCCCAATTGAATGTACTGTTTCTATGAATTTCTGTACTCCAAATACTTCATACGTGAAGCCATACAGTATATGTCTTTTTTTTTTTTTTTTCCTGGTTTGTTTATTTGCTTATTTATTCAGTTTTTGGTATGAGGAACTGAACTCAGGACCTTGTGCTTGCAAGACAGGTTTGTGCCTCTGCGCTATATACATAGCATTTTTCCCCTGTTTTTTAGAGACATAGCCTTGCTATGTAGTTCAGCCCAGGATTGAACTCAACTGTGTAGCCCAGGCTGGTCTGGAACGTGGTGATTCTCCAGTGTGATTCTCCAAGCGTGTGATACCAAGCCTGGCTTTTTTTTTTTTTTTTTTTTTCCCCTTAAATTGGGTCTTATTAATTTCTCAGACTGGTAATTGCCTAGTCTTTAATGTTTCTGCCTTAGTCTTCTGAGCAGCTGATTACAGATGCTAGCTTTCATTCCTGACTATATTTTTCTTTTATAACTGGTTATTTCAGTGTAAAATATTTTTAAGATTCATCTATGTTTTGGTATGTATCAGACTTTATTTTTACAGGGTAAATTTCAATTTGTTATGTGTGCTGTCCCATGCTTGTAATCCCAGCATTTGTAAGGCTGAGGCAGGAGAATCACCATGAGTTCCAGACCAGCTTGGGCTGCATAGTAGCCAGAGTTGCCCTGAGTTTGAGGCCAGCCAGAAGTACATGGCACAGTCAAGGCCAGCCTTAACTGCAAAAAACAAAACCAAACAGAAAAGAACAACTTTCTATATTCTTTAGATTATGGGGTTCCTATTCTTGTAATAATGTTGAAAAATAATTATTTCAGAGCTAGTGACATATTACAACTCCTTATAACTTCTATGAAGTAATCAATTTAGCACAATTATATGAATGTTCCAATAAAATTTTTCATAGGAAAATATTTACTAAAAGCTTTTTAAAATATTAACAGTTTATTAATTTTTCTCATTTGTGTAAGACAAACAAGTGTGGTATACTTTTGCCCAACGGTGATATAATGGTCCATGAGATTCATAGATCTAAAACATTTTTATAACATTCACAAGGCTGCAAAGTCACTGACATAATATTTACTAAGTTTTCTTGAGTAGGCTGATATGTTTGGCACTGGTGGAGCCTCTTAGCCAGCTGGTGAGGAAATTGAAAGATGCCTTGGTTCTGTGTTTCAGTTTAGAGCTATCGAAACCCTCTTAGCAATCTGAATACAACACCGGAGTCCACACCAACTGTTGAGTTCAGCGCTATTGAAGTTACTTATATTTTTAAAAAGTTGTCCCTGGTGATGACTTAGAATAAGTGCTTCCCTGGCAAGCTCAAGGACCTGAGTTCAATCACTGGTTCTAAAAAAAAAAAAAAAAGATTGTCCCTATTTGTAGAATTGGATGTTATATTTCTTGCTCTATAGGCTCTTGTGAGGGTAAAGTGAGGTATTTAGCAGGGTGAGTGGCTATTAGTGTTATTCTTATCACTAGCATTGTGTTTAAAGAATTCCAAGGGCAGTATCATGGAGTGTAATCCATTCTATCATTTGTTTCTCTAGTGATCTTAATGAAGTTTAATCTGTGCTAGGCATTCCAGAAGGTTCAAAGATGGGTAGTATATATATGTCTGCCTTTAAGGAGCTTGTATTGAGGTATTTTAAATGGAAGTAATTCTATAGTGATTTTTTTTTTTTTTTTTTTTTTTTTGTGGTACTGGGGATTGAACTCAGGAACTTGTGCTTGCCAGGCAGTGCTTATTCTGCTGAGCTATTTCCCAGCCCTAAAGTGAATTTTTAAGACTATATTTTCTCAAATTTTAAATTTTGATAAAAATAGGGTAAAAATATCTTCGGGTGAGAGTATTGTGTGTCTTTTGTTGTTGTTGTTTGCTTTTTTTTTTGGTACTGGGGATTGAGCTTGCGTTTACCAGACAAGTGCTTATGCTGCTAACCTATATTCCCAGTGACAGTATTATTTTAATATTTTAAAACCTTCTTTGGGATGGGGAGATAGCTCAGTAGAATAAGCACCTGGCTAGCAAGCAAAGGGTCCTGAGTTCAATCCCTGGTACTGCCAAAAAACCCAAAACAAAACAAAAAACCTTCTTAGAAATTCTCTAAACATTCTTTGACTTGTGGATTTTGTTTGTTCCAGCCAGCACCAAACCAAGTCACTTTTCATCTGCCCCTACATCGTTACTATGCCATGTTTTTGAGTAAGGTAAGACTGTTACTAAGCAATTGTTTTGTTTTTTTAAAGGAACAATTTTTTTGGTTTTGGGAAAAAATATCAAATTACTAACTTTTGTGTTATAATTTGTAGGCTGTGAAATGTCAAGAATTAGATCTGGATTCTGTTTTACCAGATCAGGAAATGTTAATGAAATTAATGATTCACCCACTCCAAATTCAAGTATGTATTCATCCTTTTAAAGTGTTTGGAATTGGATTTCTTACTTTATTTTGTGTGTCTTTGTCATTGTGATTATAGCCAGAATGTTTGAAAATTAAAAAAAAAAAATTTAATTCTTATATTTTGGCCAGATTGTGTTTAGGCATTTTTTTCTTCCATAAGATTCACTTTTAATTTCCCTAGGAATTCTTTACTATATTTACTCACAGAGAGATTTTAATGTATTTAACACTTGGAAGTTAGGTGATCAACAAGTTCTAGTCTTCAAGCTTCCAGTATTTTATTTTCTACATAGTTTGGGGTAATTCCTTTGTTGGTTTTTAGTTTTTTTGTCTAATTTAAGAAGGGAAAGAAAAGAACTAGTTTGAATAAATACTGTGACTTCTTAGAGTGTTTGTACTAATTTCATGGCCAAACTTTCATATACATTAGACTTGTGTTTCAATTTATTTTTTTCTGTTCATTTTAGATTATTTTTGAACTATTCTAGGGGCTAAGAACGAGTAAAGATGAAGTTATGATTGCTTATTTTTAATTGTGACTGGACATAAACACGTCAATAATTAAATATTAATGTAAGAAAATTGTGGTTTTTTTTAGCTTTCCTGTTATTTGGAGAATTAATTATTTAGATTAAATTTTGAGTAAAATTGAATTGAAAATGTAGAATGTATTCATTGATTTTGGACAATTAGTTTTGTACTTACCGTATTACTTTTCTTTAGACATTATGGGGCCAGCTATATAGCCCAGTGGCATAAGTGCCTGCCTGGCAAGTACAAGGTCTCGAGTTTGAGTTCTGGTACCCCCATACCTCAAAAAGACTTTATGCATATATGCTCTTGTTTGTTTGTTTGTTTTGGAGGAAGACATTGGAGAAAAATGAGCATTGATTTCCTGTGAAAGATTTCAGTGAAGTTACTTTAAATGTATCCAGAGGCCACCATGGAAAACTTACACCTGTATGAACTCTAAAAAAGGTGGCTGTCTGAAGCACAATTTTTATTTCACAAGTTTAAAAATAGGAGACAAATGTGATGCATGCTGATGTTAGTACTCTAGGAGGCTGAGATAGGAGGATCATAAGTTCAAGTCCAGAATGGGCTATATAAGAAGACTCTGCCTTAAAAAATTAAAAAACAAAAATCCCAAGTCAACCACTTGGCAAATAACAAAACAAGACCCAAACAGCAACCACAACATTATCACCATCACCACCACCAAAACCAAAACCAAAAAACCCAAAAAACAAAAAAACAAAAACAAATGGAATTGAATTCCATTGGACAGAATGTCAGGCTCATATTATGATTAATTAAATTCTAAAATATTTTTAAATGTTTGCTCAATATAAGACAATTTTATGAAGATTATTGTCAAATGTACTTTTTTTTTTAGGCAAGTCTTGCTGAAATCCACAGCAATATGTGGGTAAGAAATGGTTTGCAAATCAAAGGACAAGCTATGACCTACGTCCAGTCTCATTTCTGTAATTCTATGATTGATCCTGACATTTACCTATTACAGGTAAGTTACTTGACAGTGCACATGTTGGAGCTTTGAAGTGTCTGCTTGTACCTAATGAATTTTAATTTATAAAGACAAGTGAGTGATGACATACAGAGGGCAGTGACATTACAACAAGAATTCCTCACTTACATTTCTTAGGGGATGGCCATATCATGTAGGGCCACAAAGGAGGCATCAGGCTTTTGCCAGCAGGCAGGCAGATGTGAGTGATTTCTGGGCTTCTGCAGGAAAAGCAAGTAGAGCAGGAGAAGCAATTTAGACTTGGGTAGCTTGAATAATTCTTGTGGGCTTTGCTTCATGGGAGCTGTACTTAGGAGCTGTGTGGTACTTGGTTCTGGGTTGATTTAGAGCAGGGGAACATTGGGTTGGAATGTGAGAATTAGATAAAGTAGTGGTTGGCTTGCCAGAGGTGCATATCTTAAGTAAGGTTTTACTATTCAGGAATTAGCTATTATCTCCCTTGGTCTGTAAGGCTCCTCCCTAATATGTCAGAACATCATAAAATCCAGAACACATTTTTATGACATTAAGAAGTAAAACTGAATATTGAGAAGTACAGCTTTTTCTTCTTTTAAAGGTTTGTGCTTCTAGACTTGACCCAGATTATTTTATATCATCTGTCTTTGAAAGGTAAGCATAATTTTATTAAGACAGGTATTAAGCATTTGGAATTTAAGATAATTTTGTTTTAACTTCTATAAATGTCTAAACTATGAAAATGTTTCACTAAAATACCTCTTTTTATAGATTTAAAGTAGTAGATTTATTGACAATGGCATCACAACATCAAAATACAGTACTGGATGCGGAGCATGAAAGATCCATGTTAGAAGGCGCTCTTACGTTCCTTGTGATTCTTTTGAGTCTTCGTTTACATTTAGGTAAAAACCACGAACACTAATAATACTGAAATACTTTTCTTTTCCTTTCTCTGTGATAACTGCATTATGGAAAATGGAAAGGATGTGGTTATATTTAAACATAGTTTAAAAGTCTTGATGTGTTGTATGATTGCTAGATCTTTTGGAATAACCTTTTTTTTTTTTTTGTGATGCTGAGAGTTGAACCAGGGACCTTCGTGCTCTGAGCTACTCTCAGCCCTTTGTTATTTTTCATTTTGAGACTGTTTTACTAAGCTGGGATTCTCCTCCCTTAGTCTCCAGAATGCTGGGATTACAGGTTTGTGCCATCGTGGCCAGGTGAAAGAGCCTTTAACAATTTCTTTGCTTAAAATTTCTTTTGTTTTGAACTACAAATATCTGGATAAACCAGTTAAATGTGGGGCATTGCAGTGTGGTCTTGAATTTGAAGCTTCTCAATATTTGATAAAAACAACCAAATAAAATGTGTAATAAGTTCCTCTACTTTTTAAAAATATATTCAGATTTATTCTGTTTGTAATAATTCTAGGAATGTCTGATGATGAGATTCTCAGGGCTGAGATGGTAGCCCAGCTCTGTATGAATGACAGGACACATAGCTCATTGCTGGACCTTATATCCTTTCAAAAGTAAAATTTTCTATTGTAGGATATAAAATAACATGATTTTTATTGATTATGACAGTTTTTAAGATTAATTTTGTAGTACTCTACTTGGGATTTTATTTGTAGTATTGGGAATTTTTTTGTGGTATAAAGATACCCAACAACTGAGCTATATCCCTAGCCTGTTTTATTTTTATTTTGAGAAAATCTAAGTTACCTAGGTTGCCCTTGAATTTCTGATTCTCTTACCTCATCCTCCTGAGTAGCTGAGGCTACGTGCTAGTACCACCATGCCCCCCCAACTTGAAAAATAATGTGGAAAAAGAATGCCAGTTATTTGCTCAAGTACGTGTTTATAGCTACTGATGGGGACTCTTACCACCTCTCATTACTACCTCTCAGAGGTTGTCCTTCTGAGAACCAGGATGATGGCATTGAACACCCTAGGAACTCGTCTTTTAGGAGAGCATTAGTGAAAGGAAGCTGGATATTTTGTTAAAAAAAAAAATCTAAGTCTATTTTATCTGTTTAGATAATCCAAAATTGTGTTTGACAATTAGAGGTACAACTTACAGTTCCAGGATTTTAAATATTATGAAGATTTTTATTGATAATATTAAATAATTTTTAAGTTTGTAAATTATTGGTTTCAAACTGCAAATTTGTAGTTCTTTGTGTAAGACTGAACACAGAATGAGTACCTCTTTTTTAATAAAATTTTAAAGACTATAATTTTATTATGAAAATATCTGGGTACAGTTTGTATGTATATTCTAACTGTATTGGAAAGAATTGGCTTGAAATTAAGATTTTGTCAAATAACTCCTTAGAATACTTATTTGACTACTATTAAAAAGTTTCATAAGCAACATCAATTTTTGTTATTATTTTACAATTTCATTAACCATTATAGATTGTGCTACAGAGCAAGCATAGGGTGTAGATTTGAATTTAAGAATTAAGGGGCGGTTCCAGGCGCTTGGTCGCCGCGGTTTACAGTGCAGTTATGGCCAAGTCCAAGAACCACACCATGCACAACCAGTCCCGAAAATGGCACAGAAATGGCATCAAGAAACCTCGGTCACAAAGATACGAATCTCTGAAGGGGGTGGATCCCAAGTTCCTTAGGAACATGCGTTTTGCCAAGAAGCACAACAAGAAGGGCTTCAAGAAGATGCAAGCAAACAATGCCAAGGCCATGAGTGCACGCGCCGAGGCTATCTAGGCCCTCGTCAAGCCCAAGGAGGTCAAGCCCAAGATCATTCCAAAGGGAGTAAACCGCAGGCTCGCTCGACTTGCCTATATTGCCCACCCGAAGCTTGGGAAGCGTATCCGTGCCCGCATTGCCAAGGGTCGCAGGGCTTGCCGGCCAAAGGCCCAGGCTCCAGCCAAGGCTGAGGCTCCAGCTTCTGCTCCAGCCAAGGCCCAGGCTCCAGCTTCTGCTCCAGCCCAGGCTCCCAAAGGTGCTCAGGCCCCTGTGAAGACTCCACAGTGAAAGCCTCTTACTGCTGATGTAAAAACAGAAGGACTGGGGTGCCATCTGTGGGAGGTTGGTGTCCTCCTGTGGTCTTTGTACAAATAAACCTGAGGCAGGAAAAAAAAAAAAAAGAATTAAGGGGCTGGGGAGATGGCACAGTAGAATAAGCACTTGCCTGGTAAGCACAAGGGCCTGAGTTCAATCCCTGGTTCCGCAAAAAAAAAACCACAAGACTCTCATTGAAAAAAAAAAAAAAAAAAAAGAATTTAAGAAATTAGTTATCTTACTGTGAAACAAAATAGAGGATCATTGTGTTTTGCTGCTTTTCCTTCTTAAATCTGCTTTGTATCTTTTTACTTTGGAGAAATTCCATGGTTTTAGAAAAATTAGTTCTCGTAAAACTGTTGTCTAATTTTTTTCATGTTTTGGTTTAAAAATGATTTAGAATGATAATTCTTAGTTATTGAGCTATTAATAGCCCTCTTGTGGCCAACATTATATATTGCAACTAATTTCTAGCTTAGTTAAAAACAATTTGGAAACTAGAATACTTTGGGAAGGCTTAGGAAACGAACTTTCAATCACAAAGACATTTTCTTGACCCATACATCATATTCCAGAGAATCCCAACCCCAAAAGTGGCATCATTCCAGGAAGTTATAGCTTTGAGTCAGTTTTATCAGCTGTCGCTGATTTTAAGGCTCCTGTTTTTGAACCTGGAGGTTCAATGCAACAAGGCATGTATACTCCTAAAGGTATGTTTCTATGTGTACACGTGGTCTTGTCAGAGTCTTTGTGGGTAGAATCTTGGAATTGCTTTTTAAATGCACTATATAGATGGTTATTATGCATAACAGAATTTCACATAGACTGGGTGCTATAGTTAACAATTTCTTGTTCTAGAAAGTTGAAATATGCTTAATCTTTGTACCCTGTTTTCAAATGTTAAGAATTTTGTTAGAATGAGAAGGCACTTTAATCAAAAGGCAGTGGTTTTCAAAATTGTTATTCTCAAGCCACCTTTTAAATTTTTGCTTTACCTAAGTATTATCTTTATTATTATATACTGTACTTCATATTATGGTATTTTCTTAAATGAATCAACTTAAAATAAAAATTTTCACTTCATCCTAAACATGATTATTAGTGAGGGCATGAATTTTACTTGAAACTTATAATTTTCTAGTAACATTAGTAACAAATTATATAATTATTAAAATACCACATATACTTATATTCCACTATTTGTACACATAAATACATAGTATCATAGTTCTTAATTATGCAGCAGGTAAAAAGGACAATCATTAATTTTAGCAAAGGGCAGCCAATTCTTTTGGAAACAAGAAAGTATAGTGACACTCAAAAATCAGTGGTTCATTATTTAATCAAATACTTTCTATGTTTTTAACTTTGAATACTTTTAAAGGTATTAATATACTCTTACTTTTTGGTAGGCACTTTACAAAGGGCAAGAACAGTGAATTAAACTGTTATTGTAAGGCATTGATATTATAAAGCTATCTTTCCGTAGTGCTTGTGGGATTTGAGAATGTGTATAATGCTGAAATTGGGATTTTGACATAGGAAAATAGTCACAACAATAAGCTTTTAAGGCAAATACAATAAAATGTATTCAATCTTTTGAATTTAAAATGTACTTAACAAATATAATAAGTCATTGGTGGAGATTGGCTTTCTTCCTATGAAGTCAGTATCCTGTTTCTACTTTGTTTGCATAATAGCTGAAGTCTGGGATCAGGAGTTTGATCCTGTCATGGTCATTCTTCGAACAGTTTACCGTAGAGATGTGCAGTCTGCAATGGACAGATATACAGCATTGTAAGTCCATCAAATTGATTAATGGTGTAATGAAATATTTTGTATTTGTATAAAACAGTTTCACTTGTCACCTATAGTACACTTTCATTAAAGTATATTCAATCCAGGAGGACAAAGTAATACTTTAAGGTTTTCAAAATCTATCTAGCTGAAACTTATCTCCTTAAGATCTTTTTCCAGAATTTGTTGTAAATTATATAGAACATAATTTCTGAATCAAAATACAGAAATTCAGTGAGTATTTGGTAATAGAATTTGAGCCTTGATTTTGTGTTATTCTACTTTTGAGCCAGTAGAGGAAGCACAAGCTAAGAAAATAAAATTGCCTGACATGAGAGATGATAACAGGTATCTACAAAAAGTGTGAAAATACTTGTGTTAACAGCTAAGAGAATGACCAGAATGAAGTGCATTCTGCTTACATATTTTATGAAAAGATGATGTCAAATAAGTTTTGAATGATACCCTTATAATAAAAAAATGATGATATGCTTTTTGTAAATTATGGATTATTTTTTAATATATTCATCTCTTTTTATACCATTTTAGTTAATACCATGTGGCTGAAGATTGTCATCCTTTTTTCTTTTCCATAATTTTATTGAGAAACAAACAGCAATAAGACAGCTTCAAACCAAATTGGTAGGACAGTTTCAATAATTAACACATTGCATACATTCTTCCTAGTGGTTAATTGCTGTACAAGATGCGGACATGATATCCTATTTACAAACACCATTAGAACAAATCCTTCTATTCATTAAGAGAATGTAACTATATATCTATCCTAACCATTTTGAATACACAGATACAAAATGGACATTCATCTGTTTCTCCTTTTTTTGTTAAGCTCCGTTATTTGAATATTATAGATGTGTTAACTCAGCAAAATATTCTAAAAGAGTCCAGTAGTCCATAATAGTATTGGGTCTTCTGCTTGACTGGCAGTGTCAGAAGTTGTTGACCTGAGTCCCCTACAGCTCAACATAACAGCATGGCTTTACTTCTTATATTTTGTTTTTATACTTTTCTGCTGGATGGTTAAGACCAAGATAAAGCAGGACCTATGCAACAAGAGTTGTAGCTTTTGGGGCTGATAAGGTCAGTGAAATCCCCTCAGGATTTATCCTGAGATCCTGTACCTCAGATTGTAGAACCTTTGTCAGTGTCAGCCGTGTGGATGAGTCACGGCCATTGCTTGGCCAATGTGCTCTCTGTGAAAGCCTGAGAGAATGTTTTCTCTCCATGTGACTCTCCTTAGGCACACTCTACATCATCGATCACTTTCCTCTTTGGCCCCATAATCTCCTTGATCAGAAAATTTGGGCCACTACTGAGTTACATGACGTTACAGTACAAGTTCTCCTATGTCCTGAGTCTTAATTGACCTTGGAAGGCTAGGGCCAAAAATGTTGGCTTTCGTTTTTCTCTAATTTTGGTCTCCAAACTTAGGTTGTTAACCCTCTAGAAGACAAGCTTATTGTTATTACCATACAACCTAGGCTGTTAAGCTTAACCTCACTGTCTGTCTGAATATCAAACATTTTAGTCATAACATGGAATAGGTATTTTTCATCAAGTATTGATATGTTGAACTTTAAGTCCCAGATTGCCATCTTTTATTTGTACTTTTCTTTTTTGTTTTTGTAATACTGGGGATTGAAACCAGGGTCTTCACATAGAAAACCACTCCTTTTTAAAATTTTTGTTTTTTCCTAATTTTATTGAGAAACAAATAGCAATGAGACAGTTTCAGATCAAATTGGTAGGACAGTTTCAATAATTAACTCTTTAAAGTTTTGATAAGCTTTCCAGGCTTGAACTTGCAGCCCTCTTGCTTCAGCCTCCCACAGTCCTGGGAGTACAGCTTTCATGACCATGTCCAGCTTTATTTGGTATCTTTTTAGAGTTTACAATTTATAAGAACAAGTTTTAAGATATTTATGCAAATACCTTTTATCTTGAGAAAATACTCATCTAGAAGACGGTCAAAGTATAATTATAGATTTTGTTTAGTATCTCTCTCTCTAAAATCCACTCAAAGATTGAGTTTTTTTCTTTGCTTTTGTGGTTACCTCCTTTTATGTTTTTCTTGTGTTTTGTTATGTTTTCTTTGCTTAAAGGAGCTCAGCTATCCTGGCACTAGCACATAGTACACATTCAGAGTGCATTTGTTGAATGAGGAAATTGAAATAGTTTATGTTGAAAAATTAAGAAATAGGGGCTGGGGAGATGTCTCAGTAGAATAAGCTCTTGCCAGGCAAGCACAAGGGCCTGAGTTCAATCCCTGGTTCCACACACCAAAAAAAAGAGAGAAAGAAAAAAGAAAAAAAAAAAGAAAAGAAAAATTAAGAAATGAATAAGAGGAAGTATTTGTATGGAAGTCCTAAGGGCGACCTTTCTATTGTCTAAAGTTGCTCTGACTTTTTTTTAGAGTGGTGATAGTATTGGCCAGTGATTAGCCATTTTGAATATAGTATTTTTAAATTTTAATTTTATTGAGAAACAAATATAAATGAGACATTTTCAAAGCTGATTAATAGGACAGTTTCAATAATTAATACATTGTACATTGTTATCTTCTTAGTGGTTATCTATAGTACAAGAAGCAGACAGGATATTCTGTCTAAACACTATTAGTACTCCTCTTTCTTCTCATTGAATTAAGCGAAAGTAGCTGTATATTTATCCTATTTTGTATATACAAACATAAAATAATCTTTCCTTTGTGTCTCCTTTTTTTTGTTTAGTTCTGTCAGAGGTGGATATTGTATTGGCATCTAAATACTATAGGTGTTTGAATTCAGCAAGACAATCCAACACTATCTAGCAGTCTATAATATTAGTGGGTTATCCTCAAGTTATTGACTTGAGCCTTTTACAGCTCATTGTATTAATATGGCTTTACTTTATATACCTTGTTTTTATACTTTTCTGCTGGATGGTTAAGACCAAGATAAAGCAAGACCTTTATAACAAGAAAGGTAACTTTTGTATCTGATAAGGTCAGTCAAGTACCCTCAGGATTTATCCTGTAGCCTTATACTGAACTTTATAGATCCTTTGTCAGTGTCAGCCATAAGGATGAGTCACGGCCAATGCTTGACCAATTTGCTCTTTGTGAAAGCCCAAGAGAATGTTTTTTCTCTCCATGTGACTCTTCCCCAGGCGCACTATACATCATTGATCACTTTCCTCTGTGGCTCCATAATCTCCTTGATCAGAAAATGTGGAGCACAACTGAATTACATTATGTTACTCTACAGGTTTTACTATGTCCCGAGTCTTCACTGACCTTGAAAGGCTAGGGTGAAAATGTTGGCTGACCTTGCAGCCCTTCCTTTTCTCCAATTTTGATCTGCTAACTGAGATTGTTAACCCTCCAGGAGAGAAGCTTATTATTAACCTGCAATATATTCAGTTTGGTTTACCCTATCTGTCTAAATATCCAACATCTTTGTCATATCATGGAACAAGTATTTTTCATCAAATATTGATATGTTGAACTTTAAGTCCTTACAGAATATGAAGGAAAAATATTTTTAAAAAACTAGAAATAAACATTTACATATTTTTACAAAGAAATTTAGAAATCTAACCATATACAGAATTGTAACAAGACAGACCTGTAACATTTTTTTCTTCTTCTTGTGTCTTTTTTTTTCATTTATTACCCTTTAAAAAAAAAAACAACCTTTACTTGAGAGACAGTATGGTAATAATTGGTATGTCATGACAAGAAGTGCATATTTAGAAGACCAGGATGGCAGGCACTCCACACGTGACCCCTCTATTACACATTGCCATCCTCAGTGCAGCCGCCTGGCTCACAGGCATCAGCATATACAGTTAGTCAGGGTGAGAATCCCACTGGCCATCCGCTAGTCTCAAAAATCTGCTGATGTCCGCCAGGATCACTGCCCCACTCATCTTGTGTGTACAAATGCATGGCGTTGCCCCTGTCATGTTTCCCAGCTTTTCGCCTTGTCCGCTCCTCATTGTCCAGTCAAGTTCTCGCTTTCCTTTTATTTGTGTTGTACTTTTCTATATGTAATTCCTCTTGAGTTCTTATACTTGGGAGACAATACGATATTTACAGATGTGGGTCTGGTTTATTGCACTTATATCTTCAAGTGACATCCACTTAAGTATGAAGACTTTGAGTTTATCATTCTTTATAGTTGAATAATACTCCATTGTATAAAAATACCACATCTTTTTCAACCATTCCACGTGTGATGGGCATCTTGGTTGTTTGTAAGCTCTGGCTATCACAAATTGTGCTGCTATAAACATAGGTATGCATATTATCACTATGATATGACATTTTCAGTTCCTCGGGGAAAATTTCCAGTAAGGGGATAGCAGGTTTGAATGGGATTTCCAGTCCTAGTTTCTTAAGGAGTCTCCACACTGATTTCCATAACAGTTGCACCAGTCTGCACTCTGACCAACAGAGGAAAAGGGTTCCCTTTTCCCTACAGCCTCTCCAACATTTGTTGTTGGTTGACTTCTTTATGATAGCCATTCTTTCTGGGGTGAGATGGTGTCTCAGTGTTGTTTTAATTTGCATTTCACAGATGGCTAGTGATGAGGAGTATTTTTTCATATATTTATTCGCTTCTTTAATTTCGTCCTCTGAGAAGTGTGTGTTTATCTCGGATGCCCATTTCTGGATTGGGTCTTTAAATTTAGGGGCCCTAATGTTCTTTAGTTCTTTATAAAGTCTAGAGAGCAGACCTTTTCTGAGTGCTTATTAGTTAAGATTTTTTTGAAATTTCTGGGTTGTCTTTTCACTTTGTTGGTAATTTCTTTTGACATGCTAAAACTTCTCAATGAGAGGTGGTCATGTCAAGTATTGCCCGTGCAATTTGAGTTTTGTTCATGAACTCTCTGCCTACCCCTATGTCATCAAGAGATCCTCCTGCTTTCTCTTCTAGCAGATTTAGTGTTTCTGTTTTAATGTTCAATTCTTTAATCCATTTTGACTTTAGTTTAGT